CATCCTATTAGCAGCTCTGGGCAGTGCACCTACATCAGCAAAATAGACTTTTTTCATGTCTAGCAGGTGACTTTGTCACAGACGCCTGGTGTGCACATAGCTACCTCTGATAGAGTTATGATAGAGTTGGCTTTGTTTAAAAGTCCAATATATTGAAGAAATTGATTAAGAAAAATCTCAGCTTTTGGTAAGAACCCAAAGGTAAAAAAGTTCACAACTCAGTTGCAGAGAAAAGACTGAAAACAGGACCTAAGTATGTCCTAAGGCCTCAGAAACCAGACGGCAAACCTCATCACCTTCAGAAACTTAGCCTGGGGATTTGGGAGGCCAACTCCACTTCTCTTTTTTGTTGTTGTTTTTATGTTTTTTAGTTTGCCAATGCTGAAGAGAACTGATATTGGTAATCCTTTTTAATATACTTACCATTACGTTTCTTTGTTAGGCAATGCAGCAATCATTTGATAAATACTTAAGAAAAAAGTTTTCTAATACATCTGTAGGAATCGAGAGTATATACAATATAAATGACATAAAGTTACAAAATTCAATTACTTTTGGCAGGAGGTGTTATATAAAGCTCTGTAATGATCTCATTTAACCACTGTTTCTACTAAGCCATATTTAAAAACATGTAATCTAATGAAACCCAAATATATGTTAAAGGTATCTCACTTCTTGCCACATCTCTTCTCTGTGAAGTCTAGGTCAGGTCTCATGATTGTGTGACTAACATACTGTTTTGCTCCCATTTCCCCAGAGAATCAACATAACTCAAAGAGAAGGAATTGAAACCTATTCCTTCCTGTGAATCATCACACAAATTGTTTGCAGGACTCTAGTCAATTACAGATGGAAACCCACTCAAGAGAATAAAGGGGGTTTGGTGGTAGTTTGTGGTGGGGTTTTTTTGGTTTTGTTGGGTTGTGGGTTTTTTACTCTTTTCTGGTGGTAATGTGGAAGCAAACTATTCTGTTGAGAACAGAAAGCAGAGGGAATTGGGCAAGCTGGTCAGACTTAATTCCCCAACCCTATCTGTACTCTATCTGAATGATTTTGATATGCAGCTTTTAAAATAAAGTCACTTTTCACAGTAAAACAGTATTACTTTCCCTTTAATAAATAAAGGGCTAAATTCAATTAAGCATTAAAAAAAAAAATCAATCCTTTGTTTTCTTCATAATTGTAAGCTGTTTTATTGCAGACAGTGCAATGATTCGCCTTGTTTGGAAATGTTAATTTAATCAAAGTAAATGATCACCAATTCCATCCTCTAGAATACATTCACCTATTTATGTATTCTCTAAATTAAATGTCAAATTACCACAGTAGGTTACAGTTGTAATAACCATTACCTTAATGCTTTTTGGTGAAGTGAGTTTGCTTCTGGATTTTTCTCCCATTTTGGGACCAAAGAAATGACCTCCAGCTTCCAGTGGGGAAAGAATAATTTCATATAGAACATATTAAGGGACAGCATGAGAAGACAAAAACTCTATAGACTGTACAGTTCAAGAGATACAAGAGTAACAGTGAGTACTGTTCCTGTACTCTGCCTTCTTTCATGGCGGGGCTTTCAATTCTTACCACTTCACAGTTGTAGCAGGCTGTTTTCCCTGTCATAAGAAAGCCCTTACACCAGTGTTACTTTTCTATTCATCTTCATAACTATATGCTGGGCCAAATCTCTTGGCGCTAGGATGCCTTAAGCATCTTTCTTAGTTGTGGGTTTCAGCTGTAGTAGTTCCAAACTGCAGTTATGTACAACAGTTTAGCACTGTGGCAGAGAAGATGAGATTCCTGACTCTGTCAAAGTCATAGCTCAGTTTCACAAGAGTTTGCACAAACCTTGTTTCTTTACCTGTAAGTCACAGGGAAGGTTTTGCTTGCCTTCTGTACCAGTGACAGGAAACCTAATTCAACACCAACTGAGAGATTGACACAGCTGTTAATACCAGTAAGTAGAGGACAACACTAAGTATAATTATTATGCCAACAGTAACAAAACCCCTTGTCCTACTGCTACCAAATTCAGCAGCAAAACTTCAATGACGGTGGGACTGAGCCCTAAAAGCAAGAAATTATTCACTGTCTTTTATGTTTGTGAGCCAAGGAGCTTATAGCAGCCTAGGAGCTGTTTTAGTCTGCTAGGCCTGCCTTTAGGATTCATATTTAACAGTTTAATAAGCTTCCTTCTTTGTTTTAAGATCTCTTTGGGATTTCAAGAATATCACATTTGCATGTATACAACTAATATTACTGTACTAACAACAAATGCCCAGTAGTATTTCCTGATCAGTTTTCCCTCTCAACTAAACCTAATTTGGCATAGATGGAAATTGTGTACAAGAGGTGATAAGTGGCCAGCATGAGGAATAGGGCCTACACATTGAGAGCTGTGTCAGTTTCTGATTGTCAGAAACACCATATCTCCTCATACTGAGGTTTGTACATCTTCCAGTAGAAATAGGAAAAAAAATAACCACTATCAACTTGGTATTCCTCTTAGCCTTGTATTATTTCAGTTCTTGATTCAGAAATATATGGTATGGTACTTCAACAGTGGAACAGGTTCAGATGGAAAATGCATCAGGAACCCATCTCAAAAGCCCTAACTGAATGCTGGGAGAAACATTAAAAACATGGGGCAGAGAAGTGCAACTAGCTTAAAGAGAGAATCAAATGGGAACCAAGAACTATACAGGAAGACCTGCTGGGGGGGAAGGGGGGTAGAAAAGTATTAGGGAGACTAACCTTACATTTATTTATTCCTAGACTTCTACATGTGTGAAAAAAAAAAAAACAACCAAAACCACAAATGAATAGAATTGAGAATTAAAATGGAAAAATGGGAGTAAGAGAGATGAGATATGACAGGAAGAAACTGAGGTAGCATCTAGTACAGGAAGAACAGTCACCCACAAGTGACAGCAAAATCCTACAAAAAACTTCATTTACAGTTAAGGATTTTTTCAATATATAAATTAGTTTATTTTCATTTAGATATAAAAGCTATAAATACAAGTCATGTAAAATAGTATCTGATAAAAGAGCACTGAATCAGTTCATCTGTCCGCATAATTTGATTGAGACACAGAGGCCCTGACCCTGCTAGGATCATTTGATGTCATCAAATAGCTTGAAGAGCCACTGCTGACAAGCCTAAATGAAAGGGTGTGTAACGGGATGCTACTGTGGCCTTCTGAGCACAGAGAAAATAATCTCGAATTGGAAATTACCATTCTACCTTCAGGTCACTCCAAACTAACATAAGGCAGTTTCTTTCACACAGTCCTAGTCAGAAAAATAATCATACAGGTAACCAATTAACTTAGTTTTTCTGGATGGGTAGAGGGAATGCAGAGCCATCAGCCAAGAACTCAGAAGAGCACAACTGGAAAACACTGGCAGGTTTTGTCCCCAGTCTGATGAGCAGGAAGTACATGAAGGCACAAGAGAGATCCACAGTTCAAGTTCTCTTCGATGGCTGCTCTGCTGATGAAATCATCTCTAGACAATGGCTTACCAGCTAATGCAAAATTGGCATCTGAGAGATACATGAGCTGGAGTTCTCAGCATCAATTCATAATTTACAGTTAAATACAGAGTTTACACATGATTACTATCATTTTTTCGTGGCAATATCGGAAAATGTCTTCACAAAGTTTCATTACTTTGAAAGTGATATCTACCACTGCAAAGACTCCAGAGACCAAAATCAACAAACCCGGCTCTTTGGAGCTTGAAACAGAGTTAGTCTGCTGACAATGACAATATCCAAAGCTGGAGAACACCTATTCTTGCCTCAATAGAGGGACAGGGTTTTCCAGGATCATCATGAGTACGCGTAATGGCCATGAAACAGGCAAGATCATAACTGTTCTCTGCTTCAGTACACAGATGTGTACACCACAAGGCTTACATGTCACAGTGTGCAGCAATTCATTCTGATGAATCAAGGCCATATGAATCAAGAAGGGTCCCATTTTGTAACCTACAGTCTCCATAATCTACATCCAGCATTAAAAATGGAACACTGGAAGGACACATTGCAAACCCCCATGATACATTTATTAATTTTTTTAAAGTTACTGATGCCTTTGAAAGCACTTGTAATCTCCTTTTGAGGTAATTCCTTCTTATAGTCAGGTTAAAATTATTTTCATAAAATCTACTTTAATATGTCATGACTTGAGATAATTTCATGTTAAAAAAAATTAAATTGGTCACTAACTTATTCCTAAAAATGTAGCAAATTTTACAAACAATGGACAAATTAAAAATATTTCTGATCAGCTTACAGTCTAGAGTCAATCAATCAGGATACTGCTTTTCAGGAATAGTAATGTATACTGTTACAATACTACCTTCTGCCAAGTTCAGATCCTATCATCTATTCAGTCTCATTTTTCACATGCTTACAAATAACAGAAACAGCAATGGATATAATATCTCCAACTAAAAAAGGAGTGTTTGAGATTTGATTGTTCTTTATTTGGTAAAAAGACTGTCAAGGGATATGGAGCAATTAGAATAATGAAAGGGAACTGGACTATCAGCTTAACAGAGAATCATCCCACACAGTAAGACAAGTGTTTTATTAGAGCCAATGTCTCATTCCAACTCTGTATTTGTTGACCTTTACCTATGGTTGCAGAGCCATAACCTGAATCTTTCCATGTCTGACTGTTTTAACGGACAGCAAAATGCTACACGGGGCAAAAGAGAACACATGCCAACAACTGTCCTCCTTTTTTCTGAATTCATCTGATGAGTAGCTCAGGAGTTCCTGATCAGATTAGTAGCATCATCTCCAGGGGCACTGTGGAAGTTCCAAGGTATATGAACACTCAACCATTATTTTTCTAATCCTAGCTGCAAGGGGGTTCCAATTAGTGGGCTAAATTCCTTAGCCCGCTATCCTGCAGCATCTGTTACAAGGATTCTGAAAGCAGAATCAACACCGACAACAAAAACATCACATTCATTGTTCCACAATGCATACAGAGACTGCTCAATTTTGGGACTGTGTCCTAAGATGGTCTGCTGACAACTACCATAATGCTCTGAGGCCTGCAGAAGTCTGTCCTCCAGTTCCCTTCCATCCCCAATGTGCTTTTCATTACTCCACCTGGAACTCTTACAAGAAGATGCAGGGATGGGAGTGAGTTCCATGTTTCAAATCCGTTGTATCTCATTCACAGGCCAATTTACTATCAAAGCTGGAGAGTCCAATAGCAAAGGCCTGAAGAGCACAGAGAGGATAATTATAGTCCAGAGTGAACACATCTTCTGCTACACGACCAAACTGCATCACAATGTAGTCAGCTGGGGAGAAAAGAAAGATTCAGAGACGAACAATTTCACAGTGAAGCAAAGAAAAGAAAAAGAAAAAAAACCCCACAAACAAAACCACCATACATGTCACACATTTGGCAGTCCCAAATATATGTGGTTGGTGTATCCATCCTTCCTCACCAGAGTGGCCTTAAAAACTGTTCTCTAGAGTGAGTGTGTTACTCTAGAGATTACCTTTCTCCTCAGAACGAAAGCTCAAATCACTCTTTTGCTGGGCTGAAGGAGCCATGTTAATCCTTTTCTTTCCCTTCAGGAAGCTTGCATTTGCCCCCTCTTTTGCTGCAGCTATGGACAACAGTCTCTGCACCCACCCCAGAAAAAGGGAGGCCTTTTATAATTTTTTTGACAGTTAAGAAGTCCCCAGTAATCCTGACCTGAATTCCTCCACCCAGTCTCCCTTCTCCAGGAAGGGCGTCCTCTTCCTCCCAAACCTCAGGAAATAAATTGGGTTCTCCCTGTTCAAATAAGCCCCACACACTCTCCACCAGACTCTTACGGTCATTGTCATGGACAATCTGGAAGTTCTTCACTGAGGCTTGAGTGACTCTCCCATGGAAGTTCAAAACATAGGATTGAGTATCATCGTTCCAGACTGGAGCCTTGTTGTGCAACTCAATGAGGTTCTCTACATTTTTGTTTTGCCATTTTGACAGCAGACTCTCGTGTTCCTGTTCAGAAGAAAGAAATATATTTATCAGGTTTGGAATGGCTCTGCTTTTGAGTACTGCCTCTCTTGTGTGTGCGCACTCTGTCACTTGAAGGTCATTCCCTGTTTAATGAAACACATTGACAGCACTTAAACTCAGTCCTACTGAAAATTTCCTGCAAGTACTGGGAAGATACTTTCATGAATTCCCAGTCCAAGCATTCCTTTCCACTCAATAAGCTATCACCATATTTCCACTCAAATAAAAACAAAAAACAAAAACAAAAACAAAACAAATGAGTGAGAGAGAAGGAAGTGTGTGTATGGGAAAAGGAGCAATTCACAGGCCACAAATGACTGCCATCCTACTGGCAGGAATCCTTTCTGAGTCTCATAAGCTTTCTCTGATCCTGTTGGATCCAACTTCCAATTCTAACATCCTAAACTTTGAAGCAAAAGAAAATAATCTACAATTAACTTTTTAGTGCTAGGCCCTGGGGTGCTTCAGTAGAAAGTCCAAAGGCTGCAGCAGGCTGGAAATATGCCTTAAGTAGGTTAAATGGCATCCTATTGGGTTCAAGAAGTGATGCACAATATGAAAAAGAGAGAGAAATAAAACCAAAAAGATACAAAAAGGAGGTAAAGCAGCATGTTAAATTTGACAAACAATGAATTACAAGAAGCTGCAAAGAGTACTGAGTGAAACACATGACATATGATTTAATTTTAAAAGTTCTGCAACAAATGAAATTCAAACTGAAATAATATATGCTAAAACTCCCAAGAAAAAGATCCAAACTGAAGTTTTTTAATGGGAAAAAATTATCAGAAAACAACCTATTGTGGAGGTCTGACTAATACAGCCATAGTAACTGTTTTAGTATTGCATACAGATATGATAGTAGTTTTTTGAGGATAACCTAAATAAAACTTACTGTTCAGTTTAAACTAGTTACTTTATATCTTTATTTTTATCTCTATTTACTTTTTTTTTAAAAATGCAAAAAGAACTTTCAGAATTGGCACCAAAGTGCATTTAGATGTAATTTTTCCTCCTTTACAGTGGGGGCAGTATTGCTTAATTGGAGGCATCACACTCCAGAGAAGGAAGACAGAAACCAAGTCAAACCCCTACTCTGAAAGCTCCACCAGCTTTTCAGAACAGCTTTGTGTTTCAGCCTTGTCCACTGTCAGTACGCTTGCCTGCTAGCAAAACACTTGGGAAAATAAGGGAGAAAAATAAAAGGCAGGGCCATGGAATCATGATTGTACTGACAGGGGAGATGGCAATACCAATTGAAAGGTGATGAACAAATGACCACCTCTAGGTACAATTTTCCTGCCCATTCACAAAATCAAACCTCTTTTCCAGGCTCTCATGACTCTGAATTTCCACTCTTGAAGATTTTTTTCTCAGATCTCAACAAATACACTCTTGTTCTACTCATGTCTACTCACAACATGGCTGCAAATACCATTTTCTAGCTTAAAACACTGACCATGTCTTTCAGTTGGTACTTGTCCATTCTGCCTTTTAGATCTTGTATCACACCAAACATAAAACCCACATTAGGGGAACTGAATGATTTTGATCATGCACATTAATATATCTTCAGGTACAGTTCTGTAAGCTTTTAGCTATAACATCCACCATATGTATGAGAAATCCTCACCAAATAGTCACCACAAAACTCCATCCTTTTCCTCATCCCACTTTCTTCTTAAAGAATCCTCCTCTTCTGTGATTCAACAAAGAGACTGACAACATTCTGATCAAAAATGTAGTCTCTTGCTACTACACCAGAATATGGCCTTATCTATTTATTATCTATCTGTTGTAATTCATATACTGGCTAAGAATGTAAGTTCCTGGGAAAAGCAAGTTCATTCTGTGTTCATCCAACTCTCAGCATAACAGGGTCCCACTCCTGAGGGGTTGTAGGTGCTACAGCAACAACAAACACTAGCCATTGCAACAGCTAAGTAAATAATATTTAGGCTGACCAAAGGACAAATAAGGATACAAACACTATTCAGAAGGCTACAAATTAGGTACAAGGCAAGAACAAATTCATGGACACATTTTGGCTACATTGTATTTACTCTCCATGATACTTGCTAAAGCCCTGGGTATTAACAATCTTGCTCTAAAACCCCTGATTGCCTGTAACACAGACCTCTATGAGAAAGTTTTAACCCCTTCCTCCAATCAGACACATGACCAAACTCCATAACTCACATTTCGTGGACGGATTGGAATTCGCTTATGATTCATATTCATTCCTGGAATGATCACAGACATTTTTCTGGGACCCTTGAATCCTAACACATTGGTTTCCTGAAAGACAAGGAAAGACATTATTTTCAGTAGATAGGATACTCCATATCAAAGAAGGAAAGACAGCAAAATTGAACTTGAATCCACATTTATATTGGTTTTTAGAGATTTGCTAGCTACAACTGTAGTAGAAGTTATCTAACTGCAACTGTGTTTAATCACTGAGAATAGCTTTCCCTCCCATTTTGAGAACTGCGTTAAAAGACATACATGACGTTACCTAATTTAGAGCACATGTTTTCCTAATGAAACATTTATAACAAAATCAGACAAGTGCCATTTCCAGGCATAAGTTTTTGCATCTGAGGCAAAAACGTGCTAAAATCTTACTAGAGAAGAAGCCTTAAGTATGATAAAAAGCAAGTATCTTTAAACCTGAGTCTATGTTATCTATGTATCACCATTTAGGCTAAAATGTTCCTGAAGAATGAACGACATTCTTCTTTAGTTGCTGTTATTTGTGTTTAGGAACACATCTACAATTTTCTCTGAAATAATGCCCTTTTATAAATGACTAAGAACAGACGCAGAAGGCAAAATATTTGGCATCTGTCCAAGCTTCAATCTTAAAACAAGCAGATTTTTCCAGAGTACTGAAGAAGACTACTCCAAGTGGATTGAGTATAAAAAGCAAAGGAAAAAAGTCTTGGCATTCTCATACAATCCATTTAATAATGTCAACTAAAATCCAAGGCTCCATTTAAAAGTGTTCTGTAACAATGCCAGTGATAACCTTTAAAATTCCCCAAAACCAATTAAAAAGGCAGAATCTTTTAGAAGTATTGAATTGATTGATAGAAGTGGTACAGCTTCTCCTAACAAGCTAGTGCATTTTGCAGACACAGAACAAAGGTCTTTGGAGTTGCAACGTCTGTTATTTCACTTCTGAAAAACTAGGGCCACATATGAGAATGAGGGTACTGATTTTATTCATATATAAACTTCATTAACTTCTTGTAGATAAAAGTTCAGAAATGTGAAAAGCTGACTTTATATTATCTGCTGCACTCATATAGACACCTTGCTGCGCACAATTAGGCGGGGAACTCAGGAATACTGTATACAAAGAAAATACCCAGTGATACTTCTGTAAACAGGCTAGTACTGGAATTACCACATCAATTTTTTTTTCCCCAAGTGCCATTAAGATCAACAGCAAAAAATCAAGATCATACTCCAGTAAGCTAATGCACCTTTAAATTTCTGCTGCTGTACCTGTGATAAAAGTAAAAATCCTTCCACCTGACTGGCCAGCATTTTGTACAGAACTTCAAATTGTACTTTAGGACTGGAATATGAAACAATGTGACGTGAGAACCCTCAGATAATTCTAGAGTGGCCACAAGTGCCTCCTCACTCTGAAGCCTACATCGAGGTGACCCACAAGACCAGAAGAAAAAATCTCTAGGACAGAGCTAGCAAATTACAATTTCCCCTGGAACCATATCCTTACCAACAACAAGCTGCTACTGAAATTATACCAGCTCATTCCTATCAACCAAAATGCCTTTGGTTCTGCAAAAAGATAGGCCAGGTAAGAAGGTCAGGATGTTAGTTTGGGTGTCCCTCCCCAGCACTGATTTTTTTTTTTTTTTCCCCTCATTAAACTTGTAAGAACATATCTTTGAGGCCTCTGCCCTTTGTTGTATCTGGTTGAAATGGGTCAGTTGGTTCCAAAGTTAAGTGAGGAAGGCTGCCAGGCAGCATGATTTTGTAAGCCCTGTTTCCTCAGTAACCTGGCAACAAAAAAAGAAAGGGGCAGAAGGGGAGAGGCACTACTTACATAACAAATAGCTGCAAGCTCCTGTCTTGTATGAGCCTTTTCCACTAGACCTTGTGCCTTGACTGGGCTAACTCCATGGTCATAGACTGTAAATTTAGTTCCCATGAGGTTTGACCTAATGTCAGGTTAAGGAAAGACAGAAAGAGAGACACATCAGTGGAAAGTTTTGTCATCTTCTGAAGATATTTGTATAGCACAGTGAAAACACACATCTGCCATCTGAATCTTCCTATTGCCAGCTCAGTAAGGAGCTTCTGCAAAGTGCCTGTAGTGAACCGAGCCTGTAACCTATCCTGGAAAGCATCAAGCCAGAATTCCTTCCCTTAATTGCCACAGTGAACAGTAATGCTGAAGAAAGTTTGCCAACCCAAATGAATACAGATTACATTAAGCAGGATGATGCGAGTTCATTCTCTCTGAATTGACACTAGATTGCTATTCATAACCCCAACTCAATTAGAATGAAAATCCAGTCTTTCCTGTCTGTAGTTTTCATCTGTGGTTCTCACCTGAGTTTTCCAATGAAGCTTTCCCCTTCCCGGGATAAATCAGTTGGGTCAACTGATATGAGGTAATTGGATGTTTTGCTCTTTTTTCGTTTTCTCCCTGCAAGAAGGAACGTCTGGAAATACAAAACTTTGATCAAGACTGGAGCTTTGTAAGAATGCAGAGGCATTACTCAGCATTGCTATCCAAACTGTTATCTCACCAGTTCCAACATCCATTCCCTTTTTTATTCTGTGCCATTACTACTATCTCCACAATTTTGATCTCTTCCACAAGTGCACACCCTGAAATCCTATTCCTCCAAACAGCTCACTCGGCAGCCTAGGTTTAATGCAACTGTCCTTTCTAGTCTTCCCTCTTTTTCTTCTGGAGCAGCTCAATCTCCCTTCTCTTCTTTATCCTTGACATTTTTATGCTTTTTTAATTTCATCTTTCATTGTATTACGGCTTTTAAACATGCCAATTCCCTCCTTAGTGCCTTGGCCAAATATAAGCTGTCCTCATCTGCATGCTGGCTCTCGTCTCAGCTTCTGGTTTCTTACCAGAAGCTCTCCCTTACACCAAAAATATTCTGTGGTAGGAGTACAATAGCCAAGATACTGTGTGGTGCTTCCAATACCTTTCTGTTGTCATCCCTTTCCAGATGCATGTAATAAGTAGGGAAGAGGCCCCGGTCCATTCCCTTCTTATCTCTAGTGATTCGACATTTGACTGTAATACCACGGGGTGCAGGGCGTAATGCAAAATCCTCCAAGTTCTCTACTTCTCCCAGCGGTGCATCTGCCTGAGAGGATGGACTACAGGAAGCACCTGTTTCCTGTGGGAAGAACCATCACATTAGCAAATTAACATCGGATCAGAGGCTCTGGTATTCCCCAAGAAAGGTCTGTTGAAACAGAAGATCTTCTGTCTCAAGGAGATACTTGGGAAAAGGAAGTTAAATGAGAGACCACCTGTGTTTCTCTGAAGAAAGTGGCTGAAGACTTTTAGTCTGAGGAAAGACTAGTCCTTCAAGGGGCGGGGAGAAAAAGTACCCATTAACCAGAGATGAGTAAATTGCTAGGAAGGGGAAAATAGGATGAGATACCATAAATATTCTAAGCATTGAATAGAGCCTGTCTGCTTTTAGAACTTCAAACACTCTGTGGGAAATAAGGCAGCCTGATAAGCTGGACTGATGAATGCTGCAGGATTTTTGCTACAGGCTAGGATTTTTGTGACTGAAATGAGCACTGACATTATGTTGGTTCAGAACAGTAGCAGAAACAGTGTAACCCGACAGTGGAACCATCTCAACTAAATGCTAAAACAACCTTAGAACAATGTGTACAGTCAGGATGCAAGTTATGGTCACCAAAGGAACTGGAATTCTAATGGAAATCTGGTATAGGTCATTAAAGGCATTTTTTCTTAGAGGTAGCTGAATCCTGTGGATTGTAGAACCCAGGAGATTGCTCCCTTACCAGGCCTTGGAAATGTGATTGCTGGTTTATCCCCATTCCCAGGTATAGCCAGCAGGAAGTCTGAGTGAATACACACAGACACACACACACACAGACTTGAAATTAACTAGTGGCTCTCACCCCTCCCCCTCTCCAGCACCCCGACTTGGTATTTCCAGCAGTTGGCACCCATAGCCCAGTCTCCCAAGTAGCTAACACTCAGACCTCCTGTACTACTCACCCACTAGTGTAGGACAATATACACAGTAACCTCACAGATGTACTCACAGGGTCTTTTGACTAGTAGCATAGACTTTTAAGGCTGTCCAACATCCATAACCAACCCCTATGCCCTTTATGTGGTCACTAGCTCAGTCCCTGGATCTTCCTGATGCTGGTCTCTTCCAACTTGCTGGCTAGTCCAGCATATAGTTTGTCAGCAATGTATGCAATGTATGTGTATCTCTCTCACACAAACACACACATGAGAACACATTCACACAGGAAATAGTTAGGAACAGAGTTTTAGAAGATGGTAGGACATGCTGCAGTAATCAGGCACAAGGCTTGGCCAGATAAGCATACTGTCTTGCAGCTGTTTACATGCCTCTGGTGCTTTTTACTCCCTTTACTCCCTATTTTCCCATGCTTATTACTCCCTGATCCACCTTGACACCTTTCTTTTCCCTCGAGTCCCTTTCCCTAAACACCCCACAAAAAGTTTTGTCCAATCCCAGAATTCTCTGTTCCATCCCAAAATTCTGTTCCCACCTGCATCCCACAATAAATGCTATAAACCTTCAGGCAGTGATCCCTCTTAACTTTACATGGCATTTCAGAGTTTCTCTGAGTAATTTTGGTAATTTTACACCTGAGACAACGGCCTAATCTGTCTCCTTTGAGAGTCATAGGAGTAGCTGATTCATTGTGTTCTCATCTTCACTGATTAGGCTACTTGGGTTCCTCCACCCACCATTGTTCCTTTGATCATTACTAAGTCTTTGTGTTTAACTCACTGGCCCTTCAGTCAGATAACCTGACAATCATGACCTTCCTCTGCCTTCAGGGATTAATATGCTAGCTACTGCAGTTGCAACTACTGTATTTTAAGCCAGTGCTCAAACGGTTAGTACTAAAATCAAGCATGTGCCCAGCCCTTATCAGAAATGGATTTCAAGATACTTACTGCAAAAGATTTCTCACTGGTTGCAGAGCTAGGCCTCTCAGATTCAGGATACGGTGAATGAGATTCTAGTCTCTTACTAGCTTCGTCCTCTTCTGTGTCCTCATCAAAATTCAAACTGCCTGAAATTCCTATCAGGATACAAGATCAAGCAGGTAACCTCTAAAAGAAGGTGTGATGAGTTCAAGGCATCACTAATTTACACATGACTCTCGCATAGCTATTCTGCTCTCTCTCTTTTAATTGATTTTTGTTGTTTCAACTGCTGATTTTCTTCATGGGCTATATTGCTTCCCGAGCCTTGTAATTCAAACCCCTAGTGACATTTTGCAGCTGTCTCTGTGCAGATGATTATACAGCTGTCAGGCTTTTATTAATACAGATTTTAGATGATATTACATGATGTAACATATTGCTTAGTATACGCTGTCATTGAATGAATTTTGCCTATTTTCACGCAAAAAAGCCCTCTATGTCTTAAGAACAAAAAAAAAGAAATCCAGATCAATATGCTGACACCTATCCTGTAAGCTGGACTCTGTACAGTTTACATCCTTTACCATTTCCCCTTAGTCTTATACACACTGAAATGGAGCATGGTAATTCTTCAATAAAAGTCTCTCCTTTCATCAGTAGCAATAACTCAGGTCTCATGAAAACTACTAATGATTTGATTTTTAAAATGGAAGCACAGACTGAATAGTTCCAGGACTTTATTTAATCTTAACCTAAACACAGTTACGTAGAGATGACTGTGGGTATATAACTAAAAAAACTCTGGATAGAGACATTTATAAAGAACTTCCATACACATCACTGTTTGACGTTTCCTTCCCCTTGGAACTGCATCATTTTGTTTTGTGATTCCATTCTTTAATTTGTCTGTATGGAAAAGCACACAAAGCACTACAGAAAATGAACACACTCAGCCTGCTAAGCTGAATTATTTTTTGAGAGCCAATATTATAACAGTGCTCCAACATGGCACTACATAGAAGGGGCACTGCTGGAAGTTCTTTGTCTCAGATGAAACAGAAAAATGTAGTCTTAACAGCCTGTCAGTAAACTTCCCAAAGCACATTTGGAAAGAGGAAAGGCGTTAACCTTAGTACTCCGGCCAATTTCAAAATTCACTGTTTATACTCTACCTCCACTAATTTCCCTGGAAGTTTCTGGATATTCTCTCCTGCTTCCTCTCCTAACTCTTGCGTAGTGTTGCTACCCATAGGTAAGCAGCTGTTGCATCTGACAACTGAATGGAAGTATTTCTACATATGGCAGTACCTTAATACATAAAGTGTATTGGAAACATTATAGGACACAGGGTCTGCAAAATAAAAACAAGCTGTGTGCCACATTAAACACTAGCCATTATTTTGCTGCAAAGTGCTTAGGCTGCATGCAACAAAAAAGGTTTCCTGTGGTACTGGCAGTAACCTAAGATAGTTGGCAGAGATGGACACTCCACTAGGAAACTACTCAATGGGATATAACTACTGAATATAAAACTCTAAAACTGTTTGTTGATTGTGACAGCCTCTGACTCAGGAAGAACACCTTTCCTGTTAGTCTCCTAAACATTTAAATTACAGCATTTACTGGCTATAGAGGATTCTGCTGTTGTGGAAATATTCAAGCATCATATCCAGATATAATATATCTTGAATAAAAGTACCCTGAAGTTTAGCAAAATATGAAGTACAGCATTTTGTCACCAACTGCCTTGGAAAGGCCAGAAATTATACAGCACATTGATAAATCTTTAAAACATAACTGGTATATTACAATTAATATCAGAAGAAGGAACTGCAGTTCTCCATATCTACATGCTGTAGAATCTACTAGCTCTGCATTTAAAAGTAATATCCTACAGACACTTGTTTTATGATTCCTCATATTTTTTAGGTTTTTTTAAGAAGTAGAAGACCCCCAAAAAAAGACCTTTGCCCATTATCAACTGTTACCTCGTTTCTGTAAGATTTCTTGCAAATCTGGCTTGCCTGCTGTGTCTGTTAGAGCGTCTCCATCATTTTCCTGATCTGCATTGTCTTCTGTTTTGGAAGATCCAGCAGAGAGACTTTGGAGTTTGGTCCCCAAATCTTGCACTTCTGATTTCAGGAAAGCAGCTGGTCCATCAATGCCTGCAGACCAAAATGAAACAGAATGTTAAAGTCTATTTTTTATGGCTAAAGATGCACCCCAGGATGGTGGTTCTTTTCATCTTCCCTTGCTCAAGCATCCCTTTAAACTACTGACACATACTTGTTCAACTTTTGTCAGAAGATTTGGGAGGAGTCAGGCCTGACTCTGGTACAGACCACCTGTTACTTTAAACATATCAGGCATCAATTTCTCCATTTATAAATACAGTGATTGTATCTACTTTTTACAAGAGCTTAAGCAATTAAAACAAGTTGTATTTGTCATGCATATTGATATCCTTCAATTTATTTATGGGAAACTACTGTATTTTCTTTTCCTTCAGGTTTCTTGTTTGCTCCTGTGCCAATAAGTGCATGCTCTACAGTGAACATCACAAATCAATTTGATAAAAAAATCTAAACCCACAGGCAGAAAATTGTAAATGGATGCCCTCTATCTTTTTGGTAGAAATTAAATTTCCGTGTTTAAACATGCAACACAGCTGTGCACTGCACTTCAGAATTGGTGGAGGCATCTTGATGTCAGGGTTTGGCATAATACTTAATACACATTTGCGTAGCACACAACATGTAAGTGTAGTTCCAGCTTCAGATTTCTTGCTTTTCCACTGTTTTCTTTCTTAAAACTTTCCTGCCATATCAAGTCATCAGATTTCTGACATGCTTACTGCTGTTATCACTCCTTAACAAGATTTGTTAGTACTGAGGAAGCTTCAGAACTCTGGAAGCTAGTGAGGGACCAGTTAGTTTTCATTTTTCTTTCTTGTAGTTTCAGCAGTACTGAAGTTTCCTAACTCAGAAGTTATATCAATCTCTTCTCCCACTCTCTTTTTGATGTAAAAGTGTCTTTTAACAGCAGGTTTCTCCCACCTGATTTTAAACACATAAATGCTACCATCCACATCACCACTCTCCTCCCCATCCTATGATCCTGAAAGACATCTGGAGAACAAGAAAAACATTCAAAAGACAGGGGATAACATAGTTCCAAATGGGATCTTCAAACCAGTTAACCAGTTTGTTCGGGTTTTTAAAATTCTACTCTACACGTTAATTCCCTATTCATATAATGATGGTATTATAACATCCTGCAACAACATGCATCTCATGTTTCCTGTTACTTTCTTGATAGGCTGATGGGACCCTGGGTCTCATAAACTACTTCCTGACACTTCCACTGGAACACAGGACTTTCATTGCTACTCTTTTCTCCTCCCTGTGACATGGAAGTCTTAAGGCTCTCACTACTGTATTTCTTTTCACTCCTAACAGAATGGTCACTATCTCACTGTAATGTTTTGAAACTACCGAGTTAATTGCTTTTGGCTCTGATATCACTTTGTGCTTGTGACTTTCTGGATCACTATAGCTTGTTTGTTATGTTTCAGTTGTCTCCCTGAAGCTCACAGAAAACAACAGATGAGGTAAAAGTCAGTATTCATAAGACTTTTTTTTTTTCTTTTTCTCTTATCTACTTTATCATTCAGTCATCTGCAATCTTGAGATGGAGTATACCATGACACCATGAAGAAAAGTACAGGCAGTCACTACTGGGTTATTTCCTTTTCTTTATCCTACAGCTTCAGAAGACTCTCTTACTTTTGTATCTCCCTACCTTTATAGAAGTCCCTAACTATTTCTACAGTTCTTATTAGCCTAACATAAGGGAGAGAATACTCAAAGGCACGTGAAGATTCTCAGCTGTCACAAAATTCAAGGTAAGGTTTTTGTTTGTTTTTACAGTTCAGTATTGCTCAACCATACTGCACTATAATTCTACTTTTGTACATAGAAAGGTGTGTAATCAATCTTGTTTATCACTTGACCACTGTCACAGCAATGTAGGTGCTCATCTGTGACATAAAATGCATGCAGTGGCATCTTGGGGAACTTTGTTGCAATCAGGTTGATAACTTACCATGTAACATAACATCACTGTGGAAAAGGGTAGGAGTTTCTACTAAAGGAGTCTGCTCCTCACACCCTTTGGGCTTTGACCTACGCAGCTTTGCCTCAGGATTTGGCTGTACCATCAAGGGATCAAGACGTTTCTTTCTCTGCTTCTTCTCTAGAAGAGCTCTCTGTGAAATAAAGTATGAAATAAGGATGAGTAACCACATTCAGAGAGGCCAAACCCATGCCTCAGCCATTGGCAATGACATGTCACTGATTGGGATCTCCAATAAAGCTGAAATACTCTTGTAATCTCTTACAAAAATCCTAGACACAGATATTACTGTGTCTTTGGAGTAAGACATTGCCTTTGACTCTCCATCAGTGGTTGATTGGTGATGTGGACAACTGCTTATTTTCTGATCTGTCCTGAGGCCATCAGCAGATAATTTTAACCCCTTTCACCCAGTCTAAACTGTGGCAATCCTTACTATAAATAGACAAATTCACCAGTCATTTATAATCCAATATAATATAACCTCAAAGCAAATGTTATAATATACAGCATGTTCATGCAATTTTATTACTCCATGCATCCTACTTACTTAAGCTGACAGAGTAGACAAAACAGCTCATAAGGACTCTCTGCTCTTTCTACTGGATTTATGACTGGACTAAACATTCCATCATTTAGGACAACTTCCTGCGCATACAGGGAATGTATAATTTTTCCTCCCTGTTTTGTACAATTACGCAAACTTTGCATTAAGAGAACTCTCTCCAATACCATCTGAAAACGCACTACATGGTAATTATGTCTTTTACTGTAATAGCATAACATTTCTAAAAATCATTAATCAGGGCTCACTCTGCCATTGCAGTTATAAATGCTGTCACAATGCAGCAAAAGCAAGTCAGGACTTGCAAAGGAAAAGGCTTTTTTGTCTCAAAAGTTATCATCTTATAGGGACAATTCAAAACAAATAGTTCCCAGAAACCAATGTTGAAAGATAAGACTGGGGGGGTGGGGAGAAGAGAGGGAGAAGTATTACAGTCATTAAAATAGGACTGATCCAGTAAAAGGAAAATTTATCTACCTTGGAAATTTTTTTTCCATATAATTCAAGATTGAAAGGGAAGAATGGTAAATCCAAATGTTAAAAAAAATAAAACATTACTTTTCCAAGATACATATACACTTCATGTTGATGATTTCCTACTAAATGAGAATAGAAACAACTTCTAGACATACATCAAGGCAAATGAGGACATTGCAACATTTTAAAGACAGCCACGCTTAATCCTTAAAAGTTAAGGCGATGCATGAAGAAGAAAAAATCATATTCTAATATTCTGTAATACATCACTATGCAAACAACGTGCAAGTCTCTTGACATAGATGCAGTTTAGCCATGCCTGCTTCTTAGGTACCTGAACATCCCCTGAAAATTGATCTTGATGATAGAAACCCTTTCTCCCTGGAATTCTTTTCAGTCTCCAAGAATCCATCAGATAAACAGTACCAACATTTCAATCCACTTGAGACATAGACATCTGTGGAAGCCTGTCCTCTCATTATGTTTCTTCTCTCTCTTGCTGGATCTTTCCTCTATTAGGCTTTTTATCTCAAGTGAGGTTAGTTTCTCAGGCAACCTCTCCCTGAGGAATTGCAACACAATTCAGCACTTGGTCCTTTATTCTTTTTGCTTTTCAAGCCCTTATTAAAAAAAAACAAAAACCAAAAACCAAAAACCAAACCAAACTCCTGTCCAACACCACAACAAACAAACAAACCCCAACAAAAACAACCTTTTTTACTGAAACTCATAATTAGACTTTGAAGACTGGACTGCAATACAGGTAGTCTTTGTTACTGCAGAATTATTTGCAAGAATTGTCCCACGGGGCAAAAATTACATAGAATTCCAAAGAGATTATTGCCTTGGTCTAGAAGAAGAAAAATAAGCAGTAGAAGACAAATTCTTAGAAAATGCTAATTACAGATAAAAATTATTTTCTAATTTGTTTTCTAGAAAGGCAGTCAGACTCTCCAGAAGAATTAACATTGGTTTGTTGTTTGTTTGTTTTTTAAATTAATGCTGAGGAAAAGTAAAAAATTTTGTAACAGTTTATAAATATCTAATAGTTTAAATAAAAGGAGAGAAGGAAAACAAAAATCAAACCATTATACTCAGAATAAGGATTTTAGAAAAATTGTTGCCAAGGCTTCTCTACCTGACAAATAGACAGGCAAGAAAAAAATAAAACAGACACTTTCTAAAGGCATGCTGCTAGAGTGGGAAATTGAATTTGGGATCCATATAAGACATAACAACTTTCAGAGATACTTAACGGATTATTCTATTAGATGAGGGTTTTTTAAAATTTCACGGCTCACCAGTCTAAAAATTTATTTTTTCATATTATAGGACATTCTGGTTCATCAAAGAGTTTCTAGGACTCACAAATCCAACAGGATCATGTTGGCTAACACTGAAACACATACTTTACTGCTGGTAGATGTGACTGACCTTCTTCTTGCAAGAACTTCAGGATAATAAAAGTGACAAATTGATAGTAATTTAATTTGTTTCAAAAAGGCTTCTTTCTACTACATTGCTTATTGAGATGCAAAAAAAAAAATCTACAAGTCCACTGACAGGACAGACAGTAGCAGTTCATTTTCTCTACATAAGGTGGCAGAGCAGCCTTACCTTCAGTATTATGTATTCTCAGACTTACACCATTAAGATGAAGTAGAAAAAATGAAACTGTATTTTGTTTCATTTTGTCTACTAACTAGCCTTTTCCTCCAGTTCTGTGTTACAGTAAAAATTCATATAATATTACAACAAAAAAACCTAGATAGTTCATGAACAGGACACCAGAACATATAACCAATTAAAGAAATAACAGATACAGATTATCATGATTTGTTCAGGATTTTTTTAACTCCATGTCTTAAATACTTTCAGAAACATTTTCTTTGCACCACAAAAAAGCATAATATCAGAATACAGGATGATTAAAGGATCACAAACCACTAACTCTGGTTCTAATGAATTTCCAACAAGCTAAGAAGTCAGATGTTTCAGATTAATATATCATAGCAGGCTACTGAGACAACTAGTTTAGTACTCTTTCCACAAATGTGATGAACAGGAAGATGGTATACAGGAAGGTTCTAACCACTCCAACCTTGAAGGTGCAATACCATACTACTAATTATTTGGATAGTTCTACCTTAGTAGGCTATGTAGCTCTGAAACATCCTCCCTGCTCTTCCAGCTCCTCCTTAGTTCATGCTGAGGCAGCAGTGACAACGCTAGCGATGATGGCATTAATGAAACTTCATGTCAAGAGCAAGTACCACACCAGGTACCTTCAGAAACATGCGTTCAGCTTCACGCTCTCCACTCACAGGGAGATGGCAGCATTGCACTTTGAGCTGCAGTGCCTCAAAAGACAGGGAAACACCTTTTGCTGCTGGGGAATAAGTACTGCCTGAGCAGCCACACACTCTCTCCTCAAAGAAAAGGCAGTAGACTAGATAAAAGCATCCTGGCAGGCAGAGCTGGCCCACAGATGGAACTCGATGTCATGCATTATTACAAATAATATGTTAGTGCAATTACAGGGTTTCCAAACCCATCATAAAGATGGATAACAGGCATATGCCTTTGCTGTGGCAAACGCTTATTTCAGATTTATGCCATCCAGAGGGACCTTGACAGGCTGG